CCCCAAAACCCCAAAACCCCAAAACCCCAAAACCCCAAAACCCCAATGACGACTTATAAAATTGAAAAGAAAAATTATGGAAAAAGAAGATAGCAAAGACATAGAAGAGTTCTCTGCTTATAACCTTGATGAAGAGGGTACTCTCCCATTTTTAATAACTTATAGAGGAATTTAAGATAGTCAAACTTGAACAGGAAAATGATACGAAATTCTCTATTAATAAGAGGAGATCTGTTGGATCATGTAAGCAACCGACCCAGCCCAGAAAACTAGGCGACTCCGGTGAGCACGGTCGGCCCTCGATCCCACGCTTGACAGTCAAAGTGAAGGTAATTTGGAGTGTAACAAGTAGAAACCGGGAGACATAAAGATGAAGGGGCATCTTTCAAAGTACCAGCCGAAGGCATTGGTATTTGGCAAGTGGAAAGATAGGTACTGAATATTGCAGAAGACAAAATTCAAGTACTATAAGAGCAAGGAGGACAAATAAACCTCTTGGAATTGTCGACTTTGACAAAGTTGATACTACAGTTGTCTTAGATGATAAGGACGATAAAGCTTTTTAAAATAACAATGAGAGGACAAGAGAAAGAAATCATATTAAAAGCTTCGAGTGAAGAACAAGCAGCCAAATGGGTTGAAAAGATGGAGAAAATGATTAAGGTTAGTCAATTACCTCAGATTTCCCAATAGTCACATTTATTCTCAAAATCCCTTAAAACTTTGATGAGGGTTCTAAAATCGTTTTCACCTATTTATGGTTGCTTAAAGTCAATTTGGATGGACTAATTCTCTATAGAAATCCAAGGGCAGGAAGAAAGAGCTGACTATGCTTCAGCCTAAGTTCTGGAAAGAGGAATATTTAGGTAAGGATTTGGCCCCAAAAACTCCTCAAATCAGTGATTTATAACGGCTTATTTCCTGTAGATGTTGATGAATTCAAAGAACTAGCAGACAATGGTGACCTCTTGTTGTTTAAGTCCCAAACTTTTGGAACTAAGTTCCAAAGAGTAGTCACAAGGTCAGAATACGATCATGTGGGAATGATTGTTCTCTGTGAGACCGATAAAGACGTCAATACTATATTCCTGCTTGAAGCTGTCTGTGATGACGGTGTCAGACTTGTTGAGTTTTTGCCAAATCTAGACAAGTATTTTGATGTAAGATTTGATGTTTTTATTGAATATTCAATTTGTTTAGGCATACCCAAAAATTGTCTATCGGCCTCTCCAGGGCATAGAAAGAGACGAAAAGTTACTAACAGACCTAGATGATTACTTAGAAGAAGTACTTGGAAAGAAGTATAATATTAGCTTGACAAAATTGATGAGGAAAACGATGGCTCCAAGGAATACCTTAGGTAAATTTACTGAAAAAGAAGACCGAACATTCCAGTGAGCCGAACTAGTAGCAAAAATGTACAAAGTCCTTGGAATTCTTGGGCCTACATCCCACTCATGACAGTATATGCCCGTTCATTTTACGGATAAGAGGACTATTACACTAAACAAGGGAGAATTTGGACCGCAATGTTCTATCCTAGATCCTGATATTCAGCTATAACTTCTCATTATGAACTGTTGACCTTCTTTTATGGTATGCCAGAAAGTACTATTACAATTCATCAGGTGTCATCCCATCAGATTGAAGGTTATTTTCAATAAAAGTTCCACCAAAAGGGGTTTTGGGGTTTTGGGGTTTTGGGGTTTTGGGG